AGAAGATCGGTTAGCACCGAAGAGGTAATGACAAAAAAAAGGAGAGATGTTTTTAGAACTTACCCACCATAGAGTGGGTGGCAGCTCGGGCCTCGAGCTGAGCAGGAGTAAGGTCGGCCCATTCGGTAACCTCTTCAGCATAGACAACCCCCTTACTCTTCCGAAGGCTGCACTGTGGGATCAAGATCTTCGGGCTCCCTCCTGGCTCCCCGAGCTGGAAATTGTTGTCTCAACTGCGCGGATGGGCTCGACAGAGGCTTCAGCGGCTGCATCAGTGGCTTTGGCAGTGACCTCGGGCTCCACGGCTGCCTTAGAAATAGGCTCTGCCGTCGTCTCGGGCTCCCGAGGTGGTAAATCCTCCTCCAAGTCAACGACCTGAGAGGCATCAGGAAGCTCGAGCTCAGAAGTAGGAACATGCGAAGACTCGACGCGAGCTCTCTTGGCAGCTCGCTTCTTTCTCCCCTTCATATGGCTGAAAAGCCTCTCCCCCTTAAGCTTATCTTCCTCCATGGGTCCTGCAACAAAGCTCGACGTCAGCAACTCAGAGGTACAAGCTACTAAGGTAAAATGTTTAACTCTAGGTAAGACGACCTACTCGGGCTCAAGCCGGCCTGTATGAACTTGCTCTCGGCGATATAATCCTTGTAATCAAACCCGAGCTCAGCCCATGACTGGAGCGTCTCCCTTGTCTCCTTGTCCAGTATAATGCCAGGGTCCTGAATAGCCGCCCTCCAATGAGTGGGGAAGGGCCACCCCGCGGTGTTCCGGACTACAAAGTAGTCCTATTTCCAAGCTGGGACTTTACTAGGAAGCTTATGCAATAACTTGTAGCCCGGTCAAGGAGACAAGTAGTAGGCCCGCCTGTGCTCGGGGAGAACGCTTGAAGCGCTCTTCTTTATTGACAGAATTGAACAAAAAATATCTAAGTCCAGGGGGAGGGCGTAGTCAAAGCAGAGGGATATGGTCTTGACCACATTACGAATGGAGTTCGGGTGGAGCTGGTCTAGGGTGACGTTGAAGTGTTTTAAGACCTCCACAATGAGAGAGTGAAGAGGAAGGCAGAGCTCGGCTATGAGCTTCTCCCAAAAGATTACGATCTCATCAGGACCGTGCTTGCAAGGGAAGTTACCCGCGGGCAAGCTGTAAGTATACTCCCTGGGGAGATTGTACTGCTAGACAAGATACCGGAGCCTCTTCAGGGTCATGGTGGAAGGACCGAACTTATCCTACATTCGACCTCGGTGAGAGGTGGACACCAGATTACCCGAGGCCTCCCGTGCCTCGTGAGAAGACTGGACCTCGGTAGGGCCACCCTGAGCTGAGGTACCCACCTCGGGCTCATCCAGTTTACTATCAAAACTAGACATGGTGATAGAGAGAAACGAACTCGAAGAAATAAGGAAACTAAAGAAAAGCTAAGGGGACTCACCAAGGAAAAGTAACCGAACTGGGGAGAATTGACCCGAGCTGGAGACCTTAGACGCGAGCTCAAGACGAATGGTGAGAACTTATGGCGAGGGAAAAATGACCAGGACCCCCACTATTTATAGCCACTATACTTGGGCATCAACGGTCAAGATCAAGACGATCTAACGGCTCTCAAGAAAACTGGCTACACGACCTCCGAGGCAAAATCAGTTTAGCGCGTTTTTTGACGTCCGTGGAGTCCATAGATTGCGTGACGTCCGTGTGTGAACTGTACGCGACCCGGGTTGATCTTGATTGAGCTGAGCAGTGAACTGGTCCGACCAATGAGTTGCCTGACAAAAAAAGGCCTGAGCTCTGAGCCAAATCCACCCGGCACACCGCGGACTCCCCGCGCTGGGTCAGAACCCCCAGCACGGGGAGTGGGGGGCAATTGATGGAGGGTGATTCGGCCCGACCTCGTAGCATGGGGACACGTGGACATGACCTGGCATAAGTGACAACTCAACGTGACAGCTTGACCATAACTCGGTGTAACAAACTCGCCGAAGCCCGGCTGGACAACTCGGTGGATGTGGCAACTCGCCGGGAAGTAACACCCAACTTACCCCGAATTCTCTCCAAGGGTGGAGTGCCCCGAGCTCCCTCCAAGCGAGGAGTCCCAAGCTCCTCCCAATGAGCCCTGAGCTCTTCCTTCCTGAGAAGGGAACACCCCGACTTGCAACTAAGTATCCCGAAGTGGAAACACTTCGGGTCAGCACAATTAACATTCCTGTCCATACTTGCGTAAGGCCCGCCTCAAGCATAAGCACCTCGGCGCACCCCCATCACCTTGGAGTAAGGTAGCTCGGTGCAAAGTAGCTCGGCAACCTGCAAGAAAGATATGCCTGACAACAATACCTGTCGAATCTGGAGGCTGTGCTCACATCCCTTGTCAGGCGGCGTCGTGCCTGCCATTTCTAAAAGATGTGGCACGCTTTACAGGTCCGTACCCTGCAACGGTTGCCTGCACCCGCCACCTCAGCTCTAGCAATAACGGCTACAGCGGAGGCGGCTACGTCTGACTTGATAGAACCCCAATATAAAAGGACCCTGATCCCCAATAAGCAAAGGTACTGAACTTGCGCCATATGCACTCTTAGCTCTCTCTTTGCATTCTCTATAGTTCTCTCAGAGTTCTTACTTAAGCATTGGAGTGTTCCCGCCGGGCGAGCTCCCGGGGAATTCTTCACCTTCTTCTTCTTCTCATGTACTGTCCGTCGCCAGATAGGAGCCAGGTTTCCACCAACTAAGAGTGTCCAAATCGCGCTGCATCAATTATAATTGTGTCTAACGAGTTAGAGCCAATTGTGTTTATAACCAATAGGTTCGGTTTGGGTTGATTCTTGTTCTATTTGGACCTGACCCGTTAACAACCATATCTCTCGTGCCACTATAATACTATTTTTAATTTTTCATTTATCTTCAACCACTTTCTCCATGAACTTTTAATATTATTTTACAAGTTAATAATTGTTTTTAGTATATTTTTAATCAATATAATTAAGTATTATAATTATATTTCATATAGGCAAGCCCCGAATTGGGGTCGGCGTTTTGAATGGACTTTTAATATTATTTACAATATAATAAATGTTTTTAATATTTTTAATTAAACAATATAATTAATTAATTCTTCTAGTTATGTTTCATATAGGCAAGTCATGAACTAGGATTGAAGTATTGGAAGCAGGAAACAAACCCAACTTATAAACTTGTGGGCCTAATGCACATTCAAGCCCGGGGCCTTGCTTGAACAAAAGCCTAGGCCTAAGCCTTGTATTTTTGAATTACGTCGGTCTTGGGTTGGTTGGGCCTAGGGATGTCAATGGACCTGTTTTGGATTGGACCCCATCCAAACCAAAATTAATTTGGATGGATTTGACAGACTAATAAGACACATTAATTAATTAAATTGGACCAATCTAGATTTAATGGTCCGAAGTATTTATTGGATTGAATTAGACCTGGTCCATCCATAATGAATTTATATTAGATTGGGTTGAATTGAGCCAATATCTAATCTATTGATATAAGATAAGAATATATGTGTCCATTGACAGTCAAATCATTTAATTGGCCAGTCCAAAATGCTCCAGAATATTCATTGGATTGGATTGAATTGCACCTGGTCTATTTGTAAAGGACTCACACTGGACTAAATACTGGACTAAATTGGATTGGACCAAATCCAATCCAATCGACACCCGTAGTTGGGTCCAAGCTTGACTTGGAAATTTGTGAGCTTAATGTGAGCTCGGGCTGGGCTAAAGTATTGGGCCAAAGCGTGGGTTAAAATTTTGTAGGACCAAGCCCAAACCAAGTCTAAACACATAACTTATGACCAAGCCTAAAATTTTTGGGCTAAGTGAGGCCTTTTCATCTACATCTCTTTAACGACTAAATCAAATTCAATGGAACAAAAGCCATATAATATTTTAAAACATTCTATCTCCTCTCTCTTTTTCTTTGTCCAAGAATTCAACCACTCCCTCCAACTCCAAGAGTATAGACTTGGTAAAACGTCTTAGTGCTTATCATACATTAAGTTATTTAATTTCGCTTAAATATATATTTTCAAGACTTTATTAATTATTTAAATTTATTAATTTTAATTATAAAATCATTTGTTTTAAATTTTGAATAATTAATGTAATTCAAGTATTTAATTAAATTTATTATTAATTAATTTACCATATTTAATCAATTAAGTTAAATTAATTAAATTACACAGAACTAATTTGTTTGATTTACTCACATGGCTAACTTTAAATCTGTGTATATGAATAGAATTATCTATTCAATGTTTTTTTTTTTTTTTTTTTTTTTTAATTCTTATGGTCTCTGCAGTGCAGTGGCGCCCCGCTAATATGGGTATATAGCAAAAGATTTTGGATCACATGCCAACAAAACACGGTCCAACCCTCTATTAACATGATCACTTACCGCACACCTCATACCTGAGGGTTTCACTTTTATAGTGGGTTCCATGAGATATGCGGTGTTAGATTACAAAAAATACCAAATCACGGGAAAATGGTATTTTGCATGTTGTAGGAGGGGTGCAATAAATAGTTTAACGCAAACTTCAAGGGTTGAATTGGTTAAAAAGTAAACCCGAGGGTATGTTTCAGAATTTGACCCGAACCGTACAGTGGTAGCCTCGCTCGATTTTGAAATGGCTCAACTAGTATCCCGCTTTATATTTTCCCGCGTCATTCTATTTCGCGAGGAAGGACGGCCGACTAGAGAGATCGATTTGTTGCTTGAAGTGTTGAACGCCTTCATTCATTCGTGTGCTGCTTGCTGAAGATCTTTCAAAATTCTCCTCGTTTCGGTAGGGGGTTTCTGGTTGGAAATTTCTGGGTGGGTGTAGACTGTGAAGTGAAGATGGGGATTCCGGCCGAGGTGTCCGATGAGCTCATTGGCTGTGGCTCAAAGTCCGAACGGGGAGGAAGCAGGAAACCGAGATTGTTCATCAAAGAAATGGTCATGAAGAATTTCAAATCATATGCCGGAGAGCAAAGGGTCGGGCCCTTTCACAAGGTTAGGTTTGGGACTTTGGGCTGTTAGTTCTCACCTTTGCTAACTGGTTGTTAAGGCCCTTTATCTTCCATGATTCTGACCTAATTTCTCTGCAGAGCTTTTCGGCTGTTGTCGGCCCCAATGGCAGCGGGAAGAGTAATGTAATAGATGCCATGCTCTTTGTGTTCGGTAAGAGGGCTAAGCAGGTTAATCTCCACCATTACTCTATTCAGATCGGTGATTTATCCTTCATGAACCGACGAAAAGAAAACTTACTTAATGGCGGCATCACTGATTTCTGTTGTTGATAATGTGTGTAGATGCGCCTAAACAAAGTTTCAGAACTGATCCATAATTCCACCAATTACCAGAATCTGGACAGTGCGGGCGTCTCCGTTCACTTTCAGGAGATAATTGATCTAGTAATTACACTCTTCCTCCACCTTTTTGCTTTCTTTCATCATATCCATAATAATTAAAAAATTTGGTATTTTGTTTTTTGCGTCCAAACTAGGATAACCCTTCTCGTGGTTACAGGAGGACGAAACCTATGAAGTTGTACCGGGGAGTGATTTTGTCATTACAAGAGTTGCCTTCCGAGACAACTCGTCTAAGTACTATATTAATGACCGAAGCAGTAACTTCACGGAGGTAACAAAGAAATTGAAAGGGAAGGGAGTGGACTTGGACAACAACCGATTTCTAATTCTTCAGGTGGGCGCCGTGTCTTCACTCTTCAGCGATCGGGGAAACTAGTTCTGCTACAGGTCTTTAAGGTCTAAATTTTCATGGTTTAATTGTTATTCAGGGAGAAGTGGAACAAATTTCATTGATGAAGCCGAAAGGCCAAGGGCCCCATGACGAAGGGTTTCTTGAATATCTCGAGGACATTATTGGGACTAACAAATATGTGGAGAAGATTGAAGAATCATATAAGCAGTGAGTTCCATGTTTGCAATTTCTTCTGTTGAGGAATTTACTTTTGTTATGTTCTATCTATAACCCTGTTCTTTGTTAAGGTCACGCTTCCATGAACTCTAGGCCTTCGCTTAGTGTGCCATTTCCTTAGGGTACTTTTTATCTATACTCGAGTACTGAAAATTTGGGAACCATATTCTAACTCTATGTTCAGCAGTATTCTATTTTATAAAGAGCTAGTACTTTCTCCTTGACCTTCTGAAGGCAGATATACCCTGTGACCCAATAAAAAAACTATGTTAAGCTATCACATCCATAGTGAAATTTGAATAACTCTAAATTTAGGTGCTACAGTTCCTAATAAGATAACTTATCATATCAAGAATGGTTTCCCTCACAACTATGTTCCATTGTTAAAGGTTAACTATAAATCATACTAATGATGATTTGCTGTTAAATCACTGGGGCTCTCTCTACAACTATTATGGGTTTTTATCCTTTGAACAAATTTTACCTGATGAGATTATTGACATGGTGAAATGAAAATCTGCCTTCCTTTTTGGTGTTGCAGGTTGGAATCCCTTAATGAGCAAAGATCTTCAGTGGTTCAAATGGTGAAATTAGCAGAGAAAGAAAGAGATAGCTTGGAGGTAGGTGTGAATTTTGTGTCTGTCTACCTCCCGTACCATTAACTGATTGATTGTTGAATTTTATTATTTTATCATGCAGGATGCTAAGAATGAAGCAGAGTCGTACATGCTGAAGGAATTGTCACTGTTGAAATGGCAAGAGAAAGCCACTAAGTTGGCCTCTGAGGATGCTGCCTCTCATGTGGTTGAACTGCAAACAGATGTTTCCAGCTTGGAAGAAAATCTCAAGAATGAAAGGTTGCTTCTGGCTTATCATTCCCATCGCAGTTAATGCTGATTTGCAAATGCTGCAAGATTTAATCAAATTTTGTTTTATTTTACTCCAGGGAGAAGATTCGGGAAAATACCAAATTGTTGAAGGATCTCGAGGTTGTCCACAATAAGTATATGAAAAGACATGAGGTGTGCATTGTGTCTCTAATTTTTTATTTTCTATTTTCCCTAAACCTTTCTAATTTGTAATTGCATTTTTAATATTAGATATTTTGACTTTCTTTGCTTTCTATTTGTTAGTATTTGAAAATATGTTAAAGTATTTCAGTGTTTTTTAATTTTAGCACAATGCATTTACTACCTCAGGTTTCTCACTATTGCTTCAAAATTTATTGGGGTTATGAACTGAGTAATACTTGCATTTGATACAATTCAGGAACTTGATAATGATCTCAGAACCTGTAAAGATGCGTTCAAGGAGTTCGAAAGGCAGGATGTGAAATGCCAGGAGGATTTGAAGCACATGAAGCAAAAAGTCAAGAAATTGGAGGACAAGCTTGTAAAGGTCTGTGGGGAATAACAATTTCTAATTGAGTATTTTTATAAGCCTTACTCTTTTGCATACATTGCAGGATTCATCCAAGATTGAAGAAATTTCGAAAGAGTCTGAGGAGTCGAGAAATCAGATTTCCAAACTCGAGGAGGAAATTCCCAAACTACAACAACACCTGTTGAATGAGGAAAAAGTTTTAGAAGAAATTAAAGAGAGCTCTAAAGGTGGTGTTCTTTCCTTTATTATATTTAGAGTAACATGCTGGTTTGTATGCCAATGGCACAATGTAATGGTTCACTACCATAGGAACACAGGTAATAGAACTATTGTAAGGAAAGCAGCATGCATTTTGTATAGATATGAGATTATGCCAGGCCTCGAACTTCAAAATTGCCAGTCTTAGCATGCAAGGATGAAAGGCTGCTGTTGCAACTTGATATTGGAAAAGGAAACAAAGAAAAAATACGGAGAACTGCATTAACTTGGTCTAAAAATTCAGACATGCATCACTTACTTTTGATTTTAAGTAATAATGAAGAAGGTTTCTTGCATGAAGCACACGTTATTCATTAATATAATTTGTGAAATAACAAAAAAAGATTATTGGTTTTACAACAAACATGATACAACATAGGAGAAACATAATCTCGCAATAATCCTGGTTTTAGAGAAGAAAAGGAAGGGAGAAGATGTTCATGAGAGAGAAAAAAAGAGGAAGAAAAGAGAGGAGCGGAGAACTGAATCGTATCTTTCTCTACCCTCATTGGCCTGCCCTAGCTCTATTGACCTCTCAACTTGCATTAGATCAAAGAATATATTATTATAGGTATTTCAAACAATAAAACCATAAATGTCCCATGCACATTTGTGAATATAGAATTGTTTCTTTGAGATGCCATTGCTCATGCTGGTAAACATTGCTGTTTAAGCTGTAGTGATATTACTGGTTTTCTCTTTGTTACCGGTCTTTGTATTTCTTTCCTTGTGTTAACCTATTAAGTTTAGATATTTGCAGCTACCTTTATTTTCTATAAGATATGTTTTCTTTTTTGCTTTTGATCACTTAAGTTTACTTTTTTATCATGTTTGTTCTTTTCTATGGGTTTAATCATTAAATTCTTTAGTTTTTTAACTGTTACATCCATCTATGATTTGGTTTAAAATAGTTGAAACTGAGAGGTTCCGCTCTGAGCTTGCTGAAGTCCGCACAGCATTGGAACCTTGGGAGAAAGAGTTGATTGAACATAAAGGAAAACTTGACGTTGCATCTGCTGAAAGTGTTCTTTTGAAAGAGAAAGTAAGCTTTATATGTTATCTTGATATCTTTAACAATATTTGTGAATAATGCTAGTAATTCAATGTTTCTTCACAATTGTCACCTCATTGCTTGGGTGCTTCCCTAGGCATTGACTTGGTGCCCCTCACCTAAATGCCTTGTTTATAGCAATGTATTGTTTATATTTTGTTTTAAAGTTTTACCATTGATATTTAAAAGATCCAAAGGTTTTGAGAAGAGAAATGAAGAAAAAAATAGAAATATTTGATTCAGATATCTGCAAGGAAGATCTTCATGGAATTGGAAAAGGAATATGCTTTAGATAAGGCTTAATCAAGGATAAAAGATTCTTTTTTAGCTTCTTTCAGGGCAGAGGTGTTTTTAGTTTTCGGGTTCGGGTGAGTTTGAACCTTTTGGATTATTTGAGGTCTTGTAGGGTGGCTTTTTAATGTCTTCATAGATTTGGGTTGTGTCTTGGGAGGTTCTTATTATTGGAGGGCTGGAGGGTGTTTGATTTTTTATTGTCTTTTTTGGTGGGTGATATCTTATTACCCTTTATTGTATTCTCCTCTCTTGTCTTTAATAAATTTTGATTTTTATTTATCTTAAAAAAGAATAGAAATATCAAGAAGTTTCTTTCTTTTCTTTGTTTTTTTCCTCCTCTCTCTCTCTTTCTCTCCTTCATCCTCCCCTTCTTATATTAAATAAACCATCTCCACCCTTGCTCTTTTTTCCCTTTCACTTACTCTTCCTCCTAAATTTTATTATGTCAAATTATAACCTTCTTTAGTTGCTAATTTAATACGTAATTTTTGTATTAAGTACTTATTTTATTAGCATTATTATTGAAAGTATTGAAATAGTTACACAAGATTAAGAGATAAAGAAGAAGAAGAAGAATAAGACAAAACTACCTTTATACTCTCAACGTTCCCCATCAAGTTGAGCATAGATATTTATCATGCCCAATTTGCCCAATTTGTTGCCAACTTTTGGCTTGGGAACACCTTTAGTGTGACAATCAACTAGTTGATCTTTATACCTCATGAAAGGTAAACAAGTCTCTCCACTTTCACTTTTTCTCTAATGAAGTGCTCGTGAACCTCTATATGCTTTGTATGCAATCATGTTGAACATGATTGTGGGTTATGTTTATAGCAGCTTGGTTGTCACAGTATAAATCATTGTAGTATTAGTTTGTACTCCCATCTTTGTCAACAAGTTCTTCAACCATAACAATTTAGAAACTCTATGAGCCATAGCTTTGTACTCTACCTTTGCACTGGATCGGGCCACGATAGATTGCTTCTTACTCTATGGTTCAATATTACCACCCATCAAGGTATAGTAAACATAAGTATAATGCCTATCATCAATAGAACATACCTAGTCAGCATTAGTGTAGGCCTCCACCTTAAGATGCTCATGATAAAAAATACAACATTCTGTTTTTTTGGACACCCCTTCAAATAGGCAAGTATTCTATTCATTGGACACCACTCATAGCATATGATATGCCAAGTTTAGTTAAACATAGGTAGAGAAGTTCACCAAAGTGTCTTTGATACACACCTTTGCCACAAGACGAGCTTTATACTTTTCCTTTGAGCCATTAGCTTTATGCTTCATAGTGTATACTCACAACCAACAAGAATTTTACGTTTTGGGAGATTGGGAGAGGAACAATTTCCCTTCATTGGTTTTATATGAGAGCTTCCATCTCCCGATTCATAGTATCCTTCCAATATGGGAACTGCACTGCCTTGGTAACATTGTAAGGGATAGGTACAATAGGAAGGTGATGAGGTATCATAAGAGACATAATTTGAGATAGGACATTTAGCATAGGTCCTTTTTGCTTTACGAATTGTAATAGGGAGGTCAAGGTTAGAACTCACATTTACTACTTTCTTGTTCATTTGTAACTTGTATTTGGGACTACTTCTGCTCTCTTTTTAATTGCAGATGGGTACTCCCTCAGGATGTGGCTAGCCTATTTAACTCCAGTTTCTTAAAGCAACATAAGAAAAGGGGAAGATCTCTATGGAAAATCACAAGAGCAGCCTTGGTATGAGCCATTTGGGAGGAGAGAAACCAAAGAATCTTCCAAGAAAAGAGTAGGTCAATGGAGGAAGTGATTGAATCCATAAGTATCAGATCTGCACATTGGGCTAAAACTTTGGAGCTGTTTAGAGATGTTTCCACAAATAACTTATTATGGAAATGGTCTGAAGTGGTACAAATAGATACACACAAAGAAGTAGTGATAATGGAATGGAAACCTCCAAGGCCAAACAAATTGAAATTAAATTTTGATGGGAGTTCCCTTGGTAATCTGGGTAGGGCGGGTATAGGGGGAGTTTTTAGGAACCATCTAGGTGCAGTTGTGGCTTTATTCTTTGGGCCAATTGGATTTGGCGGCTCGGTTAAGGCTGAGACGATGACTCTCTTACAAGGACTAAAATTCGAAACACAAATTGGTGTTAGAGAGCTTGAAGTGGAAGGAGATTCCTTATTGATTATTTCTTAGGCAAAACAAACTAGTTCAACTCCTTGGAAATATAAATTTGCTTTCAAGGAAATTGACCACCTTGCAAAAAGTTGTAACACTAGCTTTAGATGGGTAAAAAGAACAACAAATGGACTGGCATATGTTCTCGTAAAATAGAGAGTGGAAAGATACACTTTATTTTGGGCAATGTTGTAATCTGTATTAGTAAAAAGGGGGCATGGTAATCAGGGTGGCCATTCTGGTTTCCTATGTATTTGGGCTACAAAGGATCTATAATTTTTCCAAGCATTAATAAATTACTCTTTGTGCTGATAAGAAAAAGCTTAGGACTCACATTAGGAGGTTTAATAATAGATTCAACACAAGCATAAAAAACAAGTAAAGGTTTAGGTTCAAAATTGCTTGGATCAAGGAACTCAAATTGTAATGGACATTCAATCTTCAAAGTTATCCTCTTTTTTCATCTAACAAACCACTGGTGCCAAGTCATAGGAGGAGCACTACTACCACCACATGTAGGAGGAGAAGAAGAGGGATTGGGAACATCAATTGCAACTAAAATAGGAATGGACATGCAAAAATGAGTCTTATCTTCACTAACGCTTTCCCTTTGTAGAGAAAGACACGATGAATAGAAGAGCAGAGTAGACTCAAAGAAGGTGACATCTTTGGACATTTATCTTTTACCAAAACAAGGAGCACATCAATGGTACCGCTTTTGAAGTGATGAGTATTCCAAGAAGACACACTTGATAGATTTTAGGTCTAATTTCAGTGTAAGACTCATGTCATGGACAAAGTAGACACACCCAAAGACCTTGAGATGGAGTTGAAAAGCATAAAAAAGAAGTTGATGAGGAGATTGGAGATGAAGGGTTCATGAGTGAATTCTGTTTTTTTTGTTTATGATACCCCATTTTGTTGGGGGATATGAAAGCAAGAACTCTAGTGAATTACCCCTTTCTCTTCAAGGAAAGCTTGCAAGTGCTTCTTGATGTTCTCTTTGGCATTGTCAAATATAATCATTTTAATCTTCTTCTTAAGTTGGGTCTCCACCATATTGAAGAAGTTTTTAACAATTGAGGGTACTTCATTTTGACTTTTCATTAGATACACCATGTGTACTATGAATAGTCATCAATAAAAAGAATGAAATATTTGTAGCTACTCATATTTGGAATAGAATAAGGTCCCCAAACATTAACCCTAACTTTGGAGATTGATCAAGAATATAAACTCCATTGGCTTTATGCCCATTGCTAATCATATTTCTTATACTTAGGTCTTGAAAGACATAGTGAGAAAGTAAGAAGGTTGTAGAGCAATTATGGGTTTTGGCAAGGGAACTAATAGATAGAAGATTTCTATGCAATTGTGGAACATGTAGTATAGAGTTCAGAGAAAGGTTGTTGGAAAATTTAATTTCACTCAAATTTGAGATCCATCAACAATGGTAATCTTACCTTGAAAATAACTTATAAGTGGTGAAATAAGAAGGCATACAATTTATATGATCACTGGCTCTTGTGCTAATTATCCAAGAGCTAGGAGATGAGGCATGACAATAAAGTATAGTTCTTGACTTTACAAAGGCATTGAAAGTTGTGTGCAGAACAACAAATGTAGATAGGCAACTCTTTTCAAGTTGAAGTAAGGTGTTCCTTAGTTTGTCGATCACATTACAGGTGTCACGAGTAGGCACTTGAGGAGGAGGATTTCCCTTAGACATGATGGTGGCGCCAAAGCTTATGAGAAGTTAGTCTCGATAGCATGTTTTTTTCTTTCTTCTTGGGATTAAACCTTGTGTATGAGCCTCTTAGTCTTCAGGTCTTAGGGAGTAGTGAATTGCCTTCAGTCCAAAAGGTGTATGCCTTGGTCCTACTTGAGGAAAGTAGACAGAGTGTGATAGTAACAATTGAGGAGGAGCAACAGATGGCCTTGGTTGCAACGAGTGGCAATAATGTGGGAAAGAAGAGTGATGCCAAGAAGTTTGATGATAAGGACAGGTTGTGGTGTACTCATTGCTAGCGTTCAAGACGTACACGTGATACTTACTGGGATCTCATTGGGAAGCCAAAGTGGTAGTAAAAAACCAAGAACATGGTAAGATGCAAGGCCGAAAGAAGTATAATGTAGCTAATATGGTTCTGACCCCAATGTGATGCTCTCGAGTAGTGTTAGTTGACACTATGCGAGTGTTTGGTTGTTGTGCTTTTGTTCATGATTTGTTTCCTTCCCGTGGTAAGTTAGACCCTCGGTTTATTTCATGTATCTTCCTTGGGTACCCTTCTTCTCAAAAGGGTTTTACTAGTGTTTTCATCACATTGATTGTAAATATTTGTCTTTATTGATGTTTCCTTTTTTGAGTTTAAACCCTTCTACATTGCTTCTCCTTAGGTGGAGAGTAGTATGGAGAAGTAGGTCTGTTAGGTTTCTCTTCCTTCTATTTTGGATCTTGATCCTTTTTGTCTTCTTGTGTAAGTGTCATGGAGATTAACAATGTTCTAAC